TATGACTGTTTTAACAGCGTGCCCAGGGTCATATTTGCAAACTTTTGATGCTTAGCAGCTGGCATGTATTTATGATGATTGCATTGTCCTAGGACAGGGGTAGGCAACCTTGGCTCTTTTATGACTCGTGGACTTCAACTCCCAGAATTCCTGAGCCAGCATGTCCTAGGATCATGTGATTTTCTGATAAGCAAAGCCAATGGGGAAGCTAGATTCATTTAACAACAGTGTTACTAACTTAACAACTATAGTGATTTACTTAATAACTCTGGCGTGAAAGGTCATAAAATGGGGCAAAATTCACTTAACAACTGTCTTGCTTAGCAATGGAAATTTTGGGCTTAATTGTGGTTGTAACTCAAAGACTACCTGTATAGAGTTTACTAAAGGAATTGCTATTGCAACACTGTGTTGTTGTCGTTGTTGTTTTTTTAAAAAACTATGGCCTATTCATATAACTTTTATAGAGATCTTGGGAGGAAGAACAGAGGAAGCATACTTGGAAGTTATGTTGCTAGGATTTGTCGGCATATACAGCAGGCTACTCAAAATGCAGTAGATGTATGAATATATCCAATATTCTGTTGTGGATTGTCCTGTATAATTTTTTCTTCTTTGGATTATAATGTGATTATGAATCACATTATATTTTACCAGTATGAGCAGAAAAACTAGTTCATATCTGGTTTAAAATATTAATGCTTCTACTCCTTTTAAGTGTCTAAGGGCAACTTATTCTTTTAGCACTTAGACATCTGAAAAATGGTTCCAAGAAAATAGAAAAAGAGCATTCTTAACCATTGTATCCTCTATTGTGTAGATGATTCAAAAGTAAGAATCATCACCAAATCCATCTCTAATATAGAAATGCAGAGGAAGGGAAGAAAGGAAGGAAGGGAAAAAAATAGGAAACAGTGAGATGATCGCATCTGCCACTGTTTTTTGTTTCCTGATTTCCATTCACAAAAGATTTAATCTGTTGGCCTGCTGTATCTTCTTTCCTCCCTAGTGAATTTATTGTGCCCTTGCGCACTAACAATTTTTACCCCCACCCACACATATACAAAATAGTCATAAAAACAAGAAAAATCCATTGTCGGAATATTTATTAAGCCAACTGAAGCTTTATAGAACATTGGTTTCAATTGGTCATTAAGTACAAAGAAGATTAGAAGCTATGCTGACAATTTCTGTGTCCAGCCTCAGATCATTTTCTTGCTGCGAATGTTTCTGTTTCCAAATCTGAGTTGGTGTATGAAAACAGAATTGCATTCTTGAAACTTTGACCTTCCCATCTACCTCACCGCCATTATGTTTCAAAAGGGTGTGTTCCTTCCCCTTTACAGCACTAACACTCATAAGGACATATTGTTGTGTTGAATGTTGCATGGAACTTCCTTTTTAAGTCTGTTTTCAGCTGATTCCTTACCAGTAGTGCTTCGTTATCAGACCAGATTATATGACCTGTCTTGCACAGAGTCTTCATAAAAACTCTCACTTTTGTTCACTGACTCATAATCATTTCCCGTTCTGTAATAATGACTAGCATCCTGTCAGTTAGACCATTAGGTAATGTTTATTTTATTTGCTTGATGTTGCTTTAGCTAGAGATGGATTTTTATTTATAAACACTCATGTTAAAAAAAATCAGTGGATTACCAAACTTCCATCCTTTCTATTGCAAGCATACCAAGATCGCACCCATCTTCCCTCCCTTTTTGCCCCAGTGTGAGGTAGCCATTTGTTGCGACTGTCCTCTCAACCAAGTTTCCATTTCAGTGCCAGGATCAAAGCTAGATCAAAGTGATCTAGCAGGCGGTTTCTTTTAACCTGATGGAAAATTCAATAACATTTCCTATGCAGTTATTCTGGTTTGCAAGGAGGAAGAAGGTTCTTCAGAGACATCAGCAAAATGAAACCCCAATTTGCCAGCTACAAGACCATCCCTGTCCATGGCAATTTCTGCTTAGGCTACCAGAGAGACCAGAATCTCTCGGACAACCAATATCTTTTTTTTCTTGTTAGACTCTAGTAGGAAGAGTGATCTCATAGAAGGAATGAGGAGGGAGTTCCCCAGAATTATGGTCTGCTTTTTTGTCATCTCCATCAAACTTCCATACTTGCTGGAGAGGAGAAAAATCTAGGGAATCCTTTGTGTTCTCTACTGCCTTTCCTTGTGCTTCTCCCAAAGGAGCCTCTGACAACTTCAGTTCCCCCACCCCACTACACACACACACACACACACACACACACAGGACATAATGAGAAAAAGGGAGCTGAGAAGAACCATTTTCTGTTTTGTTGAGAGTTGGCAATGCCTGAAGCACCAAGGGTGTGAAAGCCACACAACATGGACTTTCTAGTACCAATGATGTGGACTTTGTAGTATAAAAATATGCAGGCCGAGGCATGAGCGAACCAGATTTGGCAAAGGCAGCTCTTTTTAACCCCATCCATGGCATTGAAGAAATAAGCTATTGGTCATAGACCTACAAACTTTGATCTATTGCTAAGACTGGGGGAAAATTACTTTTTTAAATGGCTTCTTCTGCCTCTTCTGCTTCTCCCTTCTTCTTGAGAATAGTTTCTACACTACAGAAGCAATAATAATTTTCCTAATAGCAATAAATGGTTTTCCTAGACTACAAGTTCTTCAATGTAGCTTTTACTATGTCCAGGAGGTATTGGGCAAGGAGCACCAATTTCCACCAGTGGAAATGGAGCTCTTCCATTGGCTGCAGAGCTTCTTGATGATAAGAGCTATGCTAATGAATAAACGTTAAAGGTGGGGTTGGTTTTCCTTCTGTATGAAGGCAAAGAAAGGGAGAGTCATATAAATCCTATATTACAGAGAGAAGAAGTACAACATCCTGAAAACCCAACATCAGATGGAGCATTTTGCTAAGAAATTAAGAAACCTGAGGATGAAGAAGAAGAACAGACTGAAGGGAAAATAAACATTTCAGGAGAGAGACAATTTGTTAGCTCTTCCAAAAAAATGGCGATGGGATGGCCTCTTTTATCTCAAACAACATATATAACAACAGAGGGATAACTATTTAACCATTCAATAATTTCAAACTTATCCAAATTTAGGTTTTATAGTAATTTCATTTCATTTCAATATGTTTTGGTCCTCCATAAAAGGTTTAATTCACCACTTCCATTAGTAAAAGGGTGGGGCAAAAATCCCCCTCCACTTTCGGAGGTTTTTTTGCTTCTTGGGATTTTTTTTTCTTCAGGAGTTGATAAGTAGGATAGAGAAAATCGATGTTCTTACCCAGATTCAAACGCACTGTTTACAATCAGCTTAAAATAGTGCTTTTGACTTCGGTTGCTTGCAGCTTGGCTAGACACTGAAGTTAGGCTAGCCTTTCTCCTGTTGGTTTCTGGAAGGCTTCTCCTGGACTGATAGGTTGACTGCCGTGTCTCCGAGGTCCCGGGATTTCCTTCCTTCTTTGCTGCCTCTTCGGGGCAGCTTCTGGCCCATTTAGGGTCCCCTAATAGGAAGAAACTCAGCCGAAGAGCATGGAGTCCTGAACCCCTCGACTGCTGCATTGCTGCGCAGGACCAGAAGTCTCTTCTTGATTTTTAATATGCTGCAAAGCAAATCTCTAACCAAATATACCACTTGAAACCAGAACTGCTCAATAGTGGGATTATAAGATGAATTTGGAAAGAGCAGGTTTAATTCTGAAGCTCTGAGATGAAATGATTGTGAATAAGAGATGAAGAGGTTAGAAAGATTTTGGCCTAAATAGCTTCTGCTATTATGATGAATCTACTCTTGTCCTGTATTTACCCATCAACCTTGATTCTTTAATTTTTCCTTGGAAAGGATTGTAATTTTTTTTTCTGCTGAAAAGAGACTTAAATTAGAAAAATGATAGAGGGAAAGACCAAGTGGTGGGATTCAGCCAGTTTGTACCACTTCGGCAGAACCGGTAGCTAATTTTTTGTTGCCCAGGCCCAGAATGGACTTCCGGAAGCGGCATCCACACAGAGAACTGGTGGTTCACATATTTGAATCCCACCACTGGAAAGACCTGATGAAAGGCAGAAGAAGGTTGAAGAAAAAATTGAAGGACTAAGAATCTGCACTAGGATGCTGGAACTAGAGAGGAGAATATTGGGGGAAAACCATGAGATTATTGGGGCATTTCACAACTTTCTAGGGGAATCACTAAGAAAGTTTGGAGCAGTAGGGCCAGTTACAATTGTAATTTGCTTTTCTGCCCAAGTCACATTACTGTGAATTGCAAAACTGAGCATACAGTAAGGATGGGAGAGAGGAGGGAAAGAAAGCTGAATAATCTTTGGCTCAGAACTCTGACAGAATTATCCCTCTGGGAAACACATTTATATCGAATATGTGAATACGTTTGCCTTTGATCTTCTGATTTTGGGCTGTACGTTAGCATTATGTGTTTTCCAGATGGCCCATGTCTCAGATGACCAGCCCTTGAGGTAAAATAGAAATTTGCTGGTCTGAAAATTTACATTTTCAGAGCTGGGGTAATGAAGCAGAACTGTGCAGTTTTGACAGCTGGGTTTCAGAGTCTAGGTTCCTGAGGATGGACTTACCTGCACTCTCATATGAGAGTTTTCCCCCTCATGAGGAAATACTATCCCCCCACTCAAGAGGAAATACTATCTCTGATAAGAAGCCATTGCCATATGCCCCTCCCAAAATTAGAATGAGCAAATAAGCAGATTTTCTTCTGTATCATAACTATTGGCGTGAACTTTGTCTGTACAGATCCTTTCTGCTCTACTGTATATAGATTAAAGATGCATCAGCTTGACTTGAGACTAAATAAGAAGTATATATCCAGCCTGCTCTTTCTTATTCCACAGGATCCTTTGGAAATATTATCGGGGGAGAAAGATATGTGGTTTTTTTTTGGCATCTGACCATATTTCTTTTTGCTTGTTGGCTGGTCAGTTGGATGGTTTTGTAATCAAATTTGCTTTATTGTTGGTTTATTTTTCCTATCTAGCCTGAAAGAGAGATTTCAAAGGCTGCAAGAAGAGCTGAGGCTAGCCCAAGATTACAGCAACTTGCCCAGCCAGTAGTTAGGAAAAAAATGCAGTTATATGAAAAGACATGCATGGAGGTCCCAATCCGCCAAGTAATTTTCTTTTTACTTTGATACTTCTATGTTGATATAAGGGATAAGATTGCAAGGTAGGATCAAGCAGTTATCCGGCTGGAAAGAACCTTTATGTAAATAGATCTCAACAATTGCCCAAGCCATCAAGAGACTGACTAGTATCTGTTGAATGGAAGTACTGTTTAAAGATCAGAGCATAGATCTGATCTGATCATATATATCATATATAAAGGCCCCGATTTCTGTTTCTTGGTCTTATTCTTGTTCACAATAAAAGTTAGCTAGGAAGGAATGTTTATCATTGTATGCATAGGATAAATTTGTTAAAAACCTCAATATAATACACCTCAGTATAATGCCCCAAATTTCCAGCCATCCTATGCCTCACCACACCTCTGCCCTTTCCCACTTCTCACTGGCTGCTGCCACTATAGAAGGTAAGAAATAGCTACACAATCACTTCCTCCTCCCACTGCACCCTGTTCAGTGTCATTGTCAATGCCTTCCTATTCAGACCATCTCTGAGTAGTGTTTCTCATGCCACTGGTACCCGCCCCGATTACTGCTGCTCCTGTAAATGCCCAATAAGTAGCATCCAAGTGAGCATCTTTTATAAGTGAGATCCTATTTCATTTGTCTGAAATGATATTGTAGGACAGACATGTCAAACACAAGGCCCAGGGGCCGGATGCGGCCCGCGAAGTGGTTTCATGTGGCCCATGAAGCCATCTTGGAAACAGTGAGGGAATGGCCCCCTCTGCCTTGGTCCTGGCCCAGGCCAGCCGGGAGCCAATGTACAATTTTGTAGTGACCATTTATGCTGAAACACATTCAGTCTTAGCTCCATAAGCCCCCCCCCCCCCACATGGCCTGAGAGGAACAGTGAGGCTCCTCCAGTGGACCATGCCTTGGCACTTGCCCTGGTCCCATCCTCTTCTGCCAGAGACCCTCAGATCTGTCCCACTCCCAGGCCCCCATAGGCACCCTTGACGTGAACGATTTAGAGCTGGCCACACCCACCCAGTAGGCCACACCCACTCCATCCATGTCCACCCAGTAGGCTGTACCCACCCTGGCCACACCCACCCGGCCCCCTGAGGACAACCGCAGCACTGATGCGGCCCTCAATGAAATTGAGTTTGACACCCCTGTTGTAGGAGATGATCAGGCTGAGTCCAAGGGAAGGGTCAAACATGTCATAAGTCATGAGTCCTTGCATGGCTGCAAGAGATCTAAGTCCAGCATACCTTGAATTCCTTTCTATCCTTAACTCCCGCAAATTTCCCTTGACCGTTAGTAGTTCAGATTGTTGTAGAGAGCTTAATCTTGTAATAAATCTTTATACTCATCTGAGTTGCCCGAATCTCCTGATTTCCCTAGTGCTTGACAGGTATAGGGTCTCCTGCTTGAGGGGGTTGGAATAGAAGACCTCCAAGACCTCTGTTATTCTCCTACCATGTCCATAAGATGGATCACCATCAAGGACTTCCGCCCTGTTACCTACGCAATCTTGACTTAACTCCTTCCTCTGAGGAATATGACTTAAGTAGATAATCCAGCAGATCTTTCTGAATTGATCTTATTCATCTCAGGGTTTGACAGAATCCTATATTCAGCTATTCTTGGGACCTGTCACACTCATTCTACTACCTTTAGAATCCTGCCAGAAAGCTTGTCTATAGCTTTGCCTCTACTTTGTTTTCAGAGATTATTGAGAGAAGGGGAGAGTAGGTCCTAATCCTTTGGGGATGGATTTATCTTGTAGGTTATCTTTTTCAGAAATATTCTGGAATTAATCCCAGGTTCAAATATCAGCATTTTTTCTGCAGATACCCCTGACTGCTCTACAAGCTGTCCCAAGTCCAAGGCTACTTGAACTAGCAAGACCAAAAACAATCCCTTCTGACAGTGCCATGGACCGTTCCCCTGAGTGGCCCGTGTCAGTGGCAGCCATGCAGGCAGTGGCCTCTCCTCGACTCACGGAACTCGCTCATCCTCCCAACAGGTGGGGTCTCCCAGATGATCTGATGGCCGTGTTGATGGTCTCACCAACTGTCCAGTTGAGGGAAAGGATCTTGGCCTTTAGATAACTTTTAAAGGCTCTGAGACAGGGGTCTCCAACCGTGACAACTTTAAGCCAGCACAGCTGGCTGGGGAATTCTGGGAGTTGAAGTCCACAAGTCTTAAAGTTGCCAAGGTTGGAGACTCCGCTATGAGAGACCTAAGGGCAGAAGGATCCTCCATGCATGCAGAGATCCTAGCTTTCATTGCCCCTCATGCCAGTGTCTTATTCTTTCCGTTGTTTTTGTCCACTGAAGTTATGACCTGGTAAAGAAGAACGTGTCAGGAAAGTTGTGAAAATATATTTATTAATTTCCTTCATTTGAAGATCTTAGCAATCCTTTTAAATGGCGCTCCCTCTGTATCTGGAGCCCATGGCAATTGGTGCTATTGCTCGCCTTTCATAAATGCCCTAAGTCCCCTTTTTTCCCCTATAGATGATCCATAGCTGCCAGTGCTAGATGAATCTTTCTGCAAACTGTATTCTCTCCAGTTATTTGCTTGACAGGTGACTAAATAACATTCATCCCAATGACTTCATTGGGAACCATTGAGTTTTCTGAGAACAAAGAACCCTCCTGAATTGGATTATTGATGGAATGACTATCATTTGACTAGTAGATATTCCTTCACTGCATATAGGGATGGAGAGACAGACTATTTTTTCATTGTTTTACCTCATAATATTGGGGTTTTTTTCTATTGTTTTTTCTTCTGGTGAAGCCAATGGGATTTTTAAAAGAAGCAGAAAACATAGGTGTTATCACAGTGGTATCATAATAATAGGGACAAGAAGCTAGTAACAAAACATATGTTATGACTTATGACAGCGCAAACCTCATGACTTACATGTAACATCAGGACACAAGTGCAAAAAGATTTGTGTTGTGAAAGCATGGCATATGTTTTGTCGACCGGTTAGCAGAAATTTAGAACTGATCCACGAAGGTTTATTATCCTACTGACAGAGCAATTCTCTGCCAAGAAAACAGCACAGACCTTAGCAATGTTATATATATATTTTCTCGTCCAGCATATGAAACTCTGGGGTTGGATTTCTTTGTGAATCTTGCAGGCAGTTTTATAAAAAGGAGCAGCATTGAGCTGTGGTGGCACCATGGTTAGAATGCAGTACTGCAGGCTGCTTCTGCTGACTCCCGGTTGCCAGCAGTTCAGCAGTTCGATTCTCACCAGTTCAAAGTTGACTCAGTCTTCCATCCTTCCGAGGTCGGTAAAATGAGGACCCAGATGATTGGGAGCAATATGCTGACTCTGTAAATCTCTTAGAGAGGGCTGTAAAGCACTGTGAAGTGGTATATAAGTCTAAGTGGTATTGCTATTGCTAACTAATCTTTTCACATTTCTTTTGTCAGGGCCCCAACCAATCTCGTGCAGTTTAATCCAGATGCCTTTATTGTAAAGGAGTCTGCTAAGAAAGCATTTTGTACAGAAAGAGTCAAGCATTTAGCGCAACCAATTACTCGTTGATCACACGGATCACCCACATCTAAATCTCTGTGGCATTTTCAATAAATTAAAGGAACTATAGCTGCATGCTTTTGTCTACTTCTTCTACTGTCATGTGTTGGCTTCCACAAGTTCTTAATAACGTCTGAAAAGTAACATCAGCTGAACGAACAACACAGTTATTCACGTTTAAGCAGGAGCCTGACTTTTAAATATTAATGTTTGATTTGTATTTTCTCCTGATCCAATGTCATCACCTACCTTTCATAACAAATAATAATAGAATTTAAATCTAGATAAAAATCAATAGACAGCAAAAAGCAAAGCAACAATAAAAGAAAAACAATTGAAAATAATGCCATAAAACAATACATAAATAAAATGGTAATATTCATACAGCAGAAATAATGAAACGGTATAATAAAAAGTTAAACCCAGATATCTAGAGCCCATGCCAGAAACTCCGAAAAGCTTGGCCTTGCTTTAAGGCTTGTATGGAACTAACATTTTCTGCTCCTCAAGAAATAAAGGCGGTACCTATTCTGGAGACATCTAGAGATAGCTTTCAACCAATATCAATGCAACACCATTCACAACTGAAGGGATTTAGATAATACCAGCTTCTGGAAGTATCAGCAATATAATTCACCATGAGGATGGAAAAAGTGGTAAGATTTAGTTCAGACATATTGTATACTTTTTGTTTCTTCTGTTAAAATGTGTCTGATTCTCAGAGACTTGTCTAGACTAGGGGTAGGCAACCTTGGCTCTTTTATGACTCGTGAACTTCAACTCCCAGAATTCCTGAGCCAGCATGGCTGGCTCAGGAATTCTGGGAGTTGAAGTCCACGAGTCATAAAAGAGCCAAGGTTGCCTACCTCTGGTCTAGACAAACTTCCTGCAATTTTCTCTGCAAGGTGTTTCAGAAGTGTTTTGCCATTGCCTCCTTCCTAGGGATGATATAAAGTGATTGGCCCTAGGTTACCTAGCTGGCTTTGTGCCTAAAAGCTAGAACTAGAACTCACAGTCTCCAGGTTTCTAGCCCAGTGCTTTAACCACTCCATCGAACTGGCTCTCATTGTATAAAGTATAAGCCAAGTAAATAATTGTAAATGTGCATAATTCTGTTTCCTCCTTACGAAGAGAGGGCCATTACTAACCTTGTGCCCTGGAGAAGGGAATCTGAAGCAAAACAAGTCTATTGTGTAGAACCAAAAGATTCTAGGCATCTCCAAAGTTCTAAATGGTGCTCTATCATTTTCCACATGATTTTCTTGCTACTGAACGTGACAATCCGAACCACTGATTTTCTTTCCAGTATTTCAACAAGTATATTATTGTGCATTCATAGGATTAAGAGTACATACCTATGACCTCACTACAGTGGCTGTATGAAATGCCTAGTATCTGTATTACATCAGTATGATGCAATTGAAATAATACACAACCTTTGGAAACTCCTTGCCATCACTCTCAAGTGCTGATTAGGCAATATCCCTCCCATACACACCAATCTGGAAGGCACAAAGCAGGTTTGGATGTTTCATATTCTCTGTCCCTGCAATCTTCTGTTTTGGAATAGTGGCTTAGCATGCTAGTAATGTTACCCTGTAGCCTGGAATGTATCATTATGAAGGTGCCCTTCCCTCTCATTTATCCCTGTTAAATTGCCTCTGGATGTGGCAACAGCAGCAATATAGAAAAGTTTTCATCTCATCCATCACTTTCATATATGGAATGAAATTTGATTGTCTACATTTTCCAAGTTCCCCAGTGTTTGCAACACTATTACAATTTTTCAAGTGCTGTAGAAATGTAGTTGTGATGTGCTGAACCCATAATTACCAGGTTTGAATAATTTCCAGGTTTACACTGGTGAATGGAAAGGAAGATTTGCCTACCCCTGGTCTACATAATAGGTATTCCTGTAGCAGAATAGAGAAAAGGCTTCCTGACATTCAATTTACTCTTTTTCTGTGCTGCGGTGTGTGAGGTTGTAAACTACATTAATTTCCCAACCTTATGATCTTTAACCATATTGAGATGGACTAGCATATATATATATGCAGCGATAATCCTGGAACAATACAAGATGACACTCCAAATTTCTCTGAGCTTGTGAGCTTGAAGAAACATGGTTGTCTTGCAACGACAGTCAAAAGAGAACCTGCAGTCTAATATGAATAGCACTGAAGATTACACTGCAGTATCTAAGTCAAAAGACTTGAAGAAAAAATATGAGATCTGAAGTCAGAACAGTTAATATTTTCTCAAAAGAACAGTTACAGAATGTAAAATTTCAGTGTGAGGAGGAGAGTACTTTGCATCTTCAGCCACTCAAAGGCTCAAGAAACTAATGCAGAAGCTAAACTTGGAATAACCAGGTTAGGATTGCTAGGAAGTTATATGAAACAAATGAACAGCTAATGCAATTGGACATGATATTTCAGGTCAGTAACAGAGAAGTATGGTAGGAGTGAGCAATATGATGAAGGAAAAAACTAAACTGGGAAATTTCCCAGAAAAGTATATACAATAGTTGGTTCAAAAGAATGAAAGCCATGGCTGAAGAGAATTCCTTGGGATGTGAGAATAACCTTGAGGTACAGGAGGAAGAACTGCAACTAAGCCAATAGCCAGAGAATGAATCAGGGCAGAAATAGAATTTGAGAAACCTTGATCCTTCCTAGTTCTCTTTAGGACAGAGGTAGAGATGGGTGAGCACATTCAGCACTGCAAAATTCTATTATTGTTACCCTATAATAACACTACATTCATGACGTCGGAATTCAAGTCTGGTTCACCTCAAAAGGCTGACAATAACTCAGGACCTTGGGATGAGTCATAACCTGCAAGAACAAAACATGCATTATTGACCTCCTGCAAATAAGATCAAACCACAACACTGAAAGTTGTATTGTTATTTATTAGCTTATTTATAAATGGCCCAACTCGAGATTGTCCAAATAATCACTGACTCTGAGTGGCATACAAGGTTTAAAACAACAATCCAATCCAATAGAATAACATTGCCATCCCTCAAAAAGATGTTCCTAATGGAGAACATACAGTACATAGACCATAAATGTCCAAAACCAATACCGTGGGAGACACACCCTCACCACTCAAGTCCAAGGCCTGGGGGGAAAAGCCAACTCTTAACCTGACTCACCTGAAGGTACTAGCCATGATGAAAGCAAGAATGCCACTTTATTGGCCCAACTACCATTTCCTAAGAATTGATTAGTGCATCTTCCTTGTTATATGAATGAAGCAATGCCTTATTAATAATATTCATATTCTCTAGGGAATATCTAAACGATGAGAATTATAGTTTAATGCATCAGGCCAACACCTGATTATGAAAGATTAGCTTAAAATAATACACCTTGCAAAGATTAGCTTAAGATAATACACCTAAATGCTCGGTGTCCTTGACTGATTTCCAAAGCCTAAGTAGGCCTGACCTGGAAATTATATGACAATCTCAAAGATGGCTTTGCGGAAGATCAGGAGTTCTCAGGCCATAGATTACATTTGGAGGTCAAAAGAGTTCTTGAACAAAGACAGTGTCAACCCTATTCTGTCAGGGAACCTCCAGAGGTTCAACCTCTAGGTCACAAATAACTGAGTTCAAAGAAAGCTACTTCTGAACTTTTGATCACTGAGCTCTATTACATCGACAGCAAGCAATATTAAAAGTACTCATGACATAGTGCGAGAGTTTCTTCACCGAATTGCATTGTTTCATCAAGAGTTTCCTAATGCCCCAACACATTTCTTTATTTGGGTGAAAACATCATATCCTTATAAAAATCCCCAGTTATGAAGAAATGTCAAAACAGTTCCACATTTGTCCTATTTTTGCAAAACAGCAAGTGGGCATACAAAGTCAGTCTGATTTATCTAGCTGTTTCCTATCTAAAACAAAATCAAACAAAACAGCAGCAATTCTCCAAAATGGTAAACGGGGATTCATTTGGAGATGTCAGCAGCCTTTCAACCTGAGAGACTTGGAGCATACACAGAGACCTTCTCTGCTGAACTATGGACCTTCATATTCACTGTTCTGATTCTGCTCTTCGATACATGGTTTGCTAGTTTTCCATAACCGATTGACATAATGCTGCCCCTTTTAGATTCTTTTCCTAAAATAATTTACAGTTAAAAATGTGTGTTTCTAAACTTAGATACTTCTTCAATACACTTGTTGAAATAATTGATTACACATTGTTCTCATTTTCACTGGGAGGATGGGCCAAACCCTCACTCCACCCATTTCAGCATTCCAGGTTTGAAGCTATTCATCAGAATTCCTGTTGTGCATCTCTGAATGCTTTTGAAGTTCATTGACTTCTCGGAGAATTATAAGTATAATGATATATTTGCTGTTAGCACAGAATGCTTCTCTGGGCACTTATTTCTTGCTTTACTTCTCCCTTCTCTCCCCATTGTATTGCCCACTGAAATCAGTCAGTCAGGAATGTAAGTAGGTAGGGGAACAGATTGCTAAAACCTTGACGTTCTATTTTAACTGGTTTGCTTTGCTGCTTTGAATGATCAGGCATGATTAAAGATTAATTAATAATTAATTCCTATGAATACTTCGTATAATTGACCTATATTTTGAAGCAGCCTTCCATGTGTAGAACCTGAAAAAAAGGCCCACTTGAAAAAAAGGCCTGGTTTGCCACACATAATTGTGGTTGGGACAGATTCTGTACATTGTGTCACTGTGATGAAGAAATAAATTGTTATCTCTATAGATTTTGTGTAAGCCTTTCCTCAGAAGTGGCTTTTTCAGAGATAATAGAGTATGAAATCAGTCAGATGGACACATCAAGTCTGTGTACAATGTGCGATACATTAATATATCCAGAGAAAAATACTCTTTTTCATGCACAGCATTAGAATTATTAGAAATATGCTTCTTATATTCATTTAATTATCTAATCAACTATGCACATAAGCCACTGTTTTTGATGTATTTGGCTAGTCTGTAAACAACCCATCTATGCTGGATGCCTTCTGCCAGATATCTGAGATAGGGATGAGATAGAGGAAAGGTAAGGAGAAAGAAGCAAAGTACATTCGCATCTTTTTATTCCTATCATTTTTATATACAGGTAGTCCTCAACTTACAACCACAGTTGAGCCCAAAATTTCTGTTGAACAGACACTAAACAAAAGATTGCAAGTCGAGAACTACCTGTACTTCACCTGTTGGCTAATTGGGTCTTTACATGATTTGACTGTAACTAAGCTGCACTATGGGACTCAAGATATTACACATTGCTCAAGATTGCAGAAGGTTGTTTCACAGGGTTCATTAGTATGCCTGCCTTGAATTCACAATGGATTGTGTGAGCAAGATGGAGCTTGTTCTCTTGTTTGTGTACACATGAAGGTCTTCACAAACACCACATGATGGATCGTGCCCAAACTTCATTTTTTAAAATCTAATTTCTGTAAGATGTTAATGGATGCAGTTGATTCCAGATATTGCTTTCCTGGACTCTGGTGCTGAAGCTATTTCTCAAAGTACAGTAGACAAGAAAAGCATATTTCAGTCTATTGCGCCTTCCTATGAATTTTGCTGGAATTAATGGAAATATTTAACCAGATCCACTCTGTTAAGTTATCACTGTATTTGCAATAGGCATAGTTAATTTTGCTGGAATTAATAGAAATATTTAAGCAGATCCACTCCGTTAAATTATCGCTGTATTTGCAATAGGCATAGTTTGTAACCTTTTTTTTGTAAGTTTCATAAAAGTCTACATTACAATCAGTATGCATAATTTCATATACTTATTTTCCACCTCTAGTATATACATTTTAAATAAGCAGCAGGTTAAAAAAACAGGAAAAATATTTTTGAGAGTAACATTCCACAGAGAAAGCAATAATTGAGCTGCTGTCCATTTTCCAGGGATGTCCCCATAAGGGGGGGCTTTAGTCAATCTCTGACAGACCTAGATTCTGAAGGAAGCCCTTCTGATTTCCTCCACTCTCCCAGGCGCTTCTTGAACCATACCTGGAGAAACAAAGGAATATTGCTCAGTGAGTAAAGAGTGGGCTACAGGCACAAGATAATGAGACTTTGGCAGGCAATGGCAAAATGAGTGGTGAGCTACAGAGAGCATAGGTTTTAAAAGGGGGGGGAAAGAATGGTCATTCCATCTGGGAAAGTATTGGTATAGAATGGATGTTATCATTTTGGCCTATTAGTAAAAGAAAAAAAAGTTTTGAATCCCTACTAAAAAGGAAAAACAGCTTTCAGTCAAAGAGAAAAATGCTTCCTCAGTCCATTCTCTCTTGCTTGTTTCCCGTATTGAGGGAGAATGAATTAGTTTTTTTAAAAAAAAAAAACAAGAAGACTGAGGTCTCTTATCTGTAGCCAAATGTGCTGTGATTCATTCTACCACCTCACCAGCATTCTATCACTCCGTTCCTGATCCACTGTGGATCAGGAGAGTCAAATTGCATAAAGGGTTGGTCCCACCATAAATATCCTGCAGAGAGGTGGTCTCTTTCTAATCAGTAAGAAGATTCTGATTCCACAGAGGGGATTATAGGCTGATTCTCATCCCCCTTCCATATGTTCTAGAACAGTGATGGCGAACCTTTTAGAGACCGAGTGCCCAAACCGCAACCCAAAATCCACTTATTTATCGCAAAGTGCCAGGGGCCCATCAGCATTGTGGTGCCCTCAGGAGATGGGCACGCAAAAACCAGGGGTGCAAAAATGGGCCACCATGCTGCAAGGCGCAAAAACGGCCACCGCTGCGCCGTGGGGTGCAGATACAAGGTGCTGCACCAAGCAAGAATGGGGCAGGGCTACTATCACGCATGCACTAGCCCCGCCTCATTTGCAGCGTGTGCATACTCGCGGCCCCATGTGTGCACACGCACATGTAAAATACTTCCCCCTCCCTTTTCTTCCAGTCCGCCAGTTGATAGTGGTTGGTGACCTCTGCTCTATCACCTCTACTCGAACTTGCTAATCAGCCACTTCACCTCCTTTGTGCTGGGCGGGACTCCTGCTCCGGGTGGTGGTGGTGGTGGCCTGATGGACCTGCTGCTGGCGGCGGCACGCGTGCCAACAGAGAGGGCTCTGAGTGCCACCTCTGGCACGCGTGCCATAGGTTCTCCACCACTGTTCTAGAAAGTGAGGCACTCTCTAGCCCTAGCAAATGCTGGGAGGGGATGAGAAGGAATAATTTATTGGAAAGTGGTAACATGGGAGAAAAGTGGTCCAAAAATGAATGAATCACCTCAAGATGCAAATTATTATATTTGAAGTTAAAGACATGGTTACTCACTAGAACTTCTTCTACTGATAGACCTGCCTCAGCAGCAATGAGGTCCAGGGTAGCACGATCAGGATTCTTGCTGATTCTAGTGAAGTTGTACTCCAAAATCTCTACCTGGTCTTCTCTGATAACCTTTTCCATGGACATTTTCACTTTGTACACGTTTGGTCGCAAACAGAGAGCTAGGAAGGCATATCAACATAAAGAATTAGATTATGTGCCGAAGTTACTATTTGCCTGACCCTTTTGATTCAATCACAACAAATATTTTTGCCAAAAGTTCCATTTGCATTTTAAATATGCAAGGATCCCACTATCATTTCCATGCACCACAATACACAAATTTATTAGCAATTAAATAACACTTTGATGCAGTGATTAAGACACTAGGCTAGAAACCGGGCAATGTGAGTTCTAGTCGCATCTAGTCTCTCTCTCTCTCTCTCTCTCTCTCTCTCTCTCTCTCTCTCTCTCTCTCTCTCTCTCTCTCTCTCTCTCTCTCTCTCTCTCTCTCTGAAAATCTTGTTAGAAAACCACAGGGACTTGTCATCAGAAATTGACACAAAGGCACCAAATAAAAGAAGAGAGTTTTCTTTTGGCAATTGTCAAATGTAAACCCTGATTAATTCTGCAAAGAAGAAAATCACTGCTTATATGGGCATCTGTGGAAGGAAGGGAATCCAAAACATCAAAGTGTTGGCCATCATGGCACAATCAAAGCCCCACCTCTTTTCACAAGGGGCAGGGCTTCATTTGCATAGTCGCCGCCACCTTCTTGATGTTTTTGAAACACACATCCTTACTTACCAGAGCTTAGAACAGCTTGCAGTTTAGATAGCATGCATTCAGAAAACAAAAAAGGAAATAAAGTCTTATCATTTGGAAAGGGGAGGATCTTTTGCTTTGTATTAGAAGCATTGCCGGTGGCTGAATTAAACATGCTACTAACATTAGCATAATCTTTCAGGAAGGGAGGAGAAGTCAATTCTTATTATGTGGATAGTTTAGTTATATTCAACCAAACTAAAAAAAAATACTTGCTTTTGGGAGGAAAGTAATGTACACTAGTTTTTTGTATCATTCTCAGCATGGTTAAATACCAGATTCCAAAGGAAATTCATTTTTATCATACTGAACCTATCCAACAGTCTGTGCTTACTAATAGCAATTGGGAAATAGAAGACTGTAGAAGTGGTAAAAATGTTTAATGCTTGCAGTTGCTGGCTCTCTGTCTCTTTCTCAAGAGGTAATCTTCAAAGGTGGCTATAAATGGCTGCATCCTTATTGTATTTCAAAATTACACTGCAGAAATGCGAAGAAACTTTCAGAGAAAATAAAGCCACAAAAATAAATCAATGATTTTTGCTGTCTCCATCTAAATTACCAGATCGAATTTAACTTGGCAATATGCAGAAAGATGATGATAAAAATAACCCTATGGAAACTTTTGGTGCTGTTTAAAAGAGACTTCACATCCCACAGGAAGAATGATAAAATACGCGGGCATGAGATAATCACACAAATGTCACAACTTACATACTTGTGTGAGATGTTGAGAGGCAAACACTTATGTGACATTTGCACGATAACATGACCCTGCATATAATCTCATTTTAGCTACATGCTTTATTTTGGATGCCATTGACTTCAGGCCCCAATATATATGCACCTTGTGGTATAATGCTCATAGAAATGTTGGTGTTAATGCATGTGAAGTGATTTGTCTGAATTTCAATTCATTTGAAATATGGGATGCCCCAAGAGGAGGACATAGATGAGCTCTCACATAATAGTAATAATAATAATAATAATAATAATAATAATAATAATAATAATAATAATAATAATAATAATAATAATAATAATAATAATAATAATAATAATAATAATAATAATAATAATAATAATAATAATAAAGTTGGAAGGGACCTTGGAGGTCATCTAGTCCAACCCCCTGCTCAGGCAGAAAACCCTATACCATTTCAGACAAACGGCTGTCCAGTCTCTTCTTAAAAACTTCCAGTGTTGGAGCATTCACCGCTTCTGGAGGCAGGTTGTTCCACTGGTTAATTGTTCTAACTGTCAGGAAGTTTCTCCTTAGTTCTAGGTTGCTTCTCTCTTTAGTTAGTTTCCATCCATTGCTTCTTGTCCTGCCCTCAGGTGCTTTGGAAAATAGCTTGCCTCCCTCTTCTTTGTGGCAGCCCCTGAGATATTGGAACACTGTTATCACGTCCCCCGTCATCCTTCTCTTCATTAAACTAGACATACCCAATTCCAGCAGCCGTTCCTTATATGCTTTAGCCTCCAGTCCCCTAATCAACTTTGTTGCTCTTCTCTGTACTCTTTCTAGAGTCTCAACATCTTTTTTACATCGCGGTGACCAAAACTGGATGCAGTATTCCAAGTGTGGCCTTACCAAGGCATTGTAAAGTGGTATTAACACTTCACGTGATCTTGATTCTATCCCTCTGTTATTGCAGCCCAGCACTGTGTTGGCCTTTTTGGCAGCTGCAGCACACTGCTGGCTCATATTTAAGTGATTGTCCACTAGGACTCCGAGATCCCTCTCACAGTTACTACTATTACTTCTTCCGCCAAAGGGAAAAATTTAGAGCAGGGCTGCACTCTAAATAGTATAGAAACATTTTGCCCCAGATTACAAATGTTGGGTGCCATAGAAGGAGTGTAGATAATGGTTCTTCCTGGTTCTACCTTTTATCCAATTACTGAGAAACCTGTTGATTCCCGTTGCCTGAATGCTTTTGAGCAGAGATTGGATGGGGGGGGGGCATGCAAAGCATTTTCAGTTCCAAACATTTAGATTTGAAACAGCACATTTCAAACTCATTTTGTGTTTGGAACAGATACTCTGATTTTATTGGAAATATTTAGTGAAGTTTTAACCATTCTGAGAATGTTCTGAGTTTGAAACAGCCTCGTTTCGCATTTGGACCAGCCATTCCAAATTTAAGGCAACAGTTTTTTTGCTGGGCGCTAAATTTTATAAAAGTTGAAACATTTTTGGTAAGGTTGTAGAAGGCTGTTTCAAACCTCAAGCAACCATTTCAAATCTGTTTTTTTTTTTAAAAAAAATGCACACCTAAAATCTCTGTCAGGGAAATATTAAATGGGATTACAAAATGAAGCTGGAGGCTGGATTTCCAAATGAGCCTGTGTCCACGGCCTTATGGACTATATTCATATGATACATAGTCCTGAACCAAACATATCGGAATACAAGTAAACCACTTTTCTAGATTTGAACAACACACTGAATCAGAAATAATCCCCAGTGGCTGGGTTTGCACGCCATGCTAGTTTACAAATTGGTGGTGGCGATGGTAGTGATAATAGCGCATTGTGCAAATCTGGTTTAGTCTACAGGCATCATCTCATCCAAAATATCTTAAGCAGCAAATGTCTGTTCCTGCCCTTCTTTAAACTGCAAGATAGCAGAGCAACCTTATCTGGGGTTTTCCACCTGAAATTGTTATTGTACTTGTTTTTAACTGATTCTTCTACCAGGAGAAATATATACTTTTTAAAAAAGCTATTTGAGGAGGAAAAGTGCCAGCTGGTAAGCTTTGGCTCTCTCCAGCCACCCTCTCATGTCATTCATTTATTGTAGCAATCTACCTGCCCGGTAAGTAGATTGCCCATCCAGGTGCACATCTGTATTAGTATGTGGGAATGACCTTGGGGGAGAGGAGGAAAAGATGCAGACTGGACAACCAGCATGTAAAAGATATCTCAGCCCACCGAAGGTGTGGGAAGCATCTCAGAAGGGACCCTCCCTAGTTTTCTGAAGAGTAAAAGGAAAAGAGAGGAGAAATACTTTCAGTCTTGCAAGATTCTGATAATATAATCTTACAAAAAAAAAAAAGAGCTAGTACTCCTGGTTGTGTTTCTTGTCTGGACGACCTTACAGGGCTAATAACATCAATACATTCTGATATTATTATGCATTCCAAATATAAACTTCTATCACCATACCAGGGCTTTTCAACCAGTGGTACGGGTACCACCTGTGGTACATTGGCACCATCCTAGAAAAGTGGTAGTGGGAGAGGGGAATGAGAGTGCTACCGGGCGGGCAGGCAGGTGTCTTGCTCGGCTGTGCCTTGGGGGGCACTTTTTCAATGCCATTGTAACTTCAAACAGTCACTAAGCAAACTGTTGTAAGTCGAGGACTACCTGTACTTTATCACTTTTTTCCTTTTTTTTTTTTTTGGTCATCAAGTTTTTGACACCTTGCTAGGTGACTGGTGGTACTCAGATATTGCCATATCCTAAAAGTGGTACAATGAGTGAAAAGGTTGAAAAGCCCTGCCATAGACATCTATCACTATATAAACTCCTATAGGTGTTTATAACTCCTATAACTCCTTTTCCCCCCATTGATTTTACTATCAAATGTACTATATTACCATGCCTTATTCTGTTCAGTTTTGCTTTATTTTAATGTTTAACTTTTTGTGCTGGTCTATGACTCTAATAAAGACTGAACTGAATTGACAGTGTTTTTAGAAGCTTTAAAGCTATTTGGATTTTAAAAGTACTTCAAGACACTTTGACTAAAGTAACCTTTTCCTACGAAAGATGTGTATAGGCTAACCCTTTCCCTCCTCCTCCTTCTTCCACAACCAGTACTATAATACAGGTATACAATAACTTCCCTACTTGAAGACGTAGCAGGAAAATTGGGATGTGGTATCATCCAGTCATGGCCATGGATGTGGCTCTAAGGAAACTTAGAGCCAAAGTAAATCCGATGACCTTTGCATTTAAGATACAGGTGCTACAAAACCAAATATTACAGTTTTAAAACATGCAAATACTGTAGCAGTGCTGACTTTAAAGCAAGCTTGACGGATCCTTAGTGTTTTGCCCTTTAGTGAAGTCCTAAAACTGTTCGAAGTTATTATTTGCACTAAGAGACATGCCCTCCCCTTACAAAGACCTAAACATGGTTTTTCCCAAGGCTGCAAGGAAATGGATACATCCCCCCCCTCTTATGGCCCCTCTCCTGGTGGTATTTGCAATTAAAAACAAAAACAAAAACAAAAGTGCACATCAAAGACAAAGACAATTTAATGTGAAGTCCATTTTAACTTCCATCTGCAGCGACTCTGTTTTGAAGCAAAGGCCAATCAAAAGGCTGAAGATCTTACATAAC